GTAGCTTGTTTTAATTACTGACCGCAAATGTTACAACTGCCCTGTTAATTTTAGTAGCAAATCCATCACTACAGAGATAATAAAAGAAAACAATTTTTAAGTGAAACAAAGGAAGGCATCACAAATAGATTTATCAAGGAATGATCGCACAATCTCCTCGACATGACACCATTGATCGAAAGGAAGTTTCACCCGAGTACTGGAAAGCGACTATTTTATGTGCAATAAAACTGCCGTAGTCGTTTCGGCGAATGCGGAAACGATGCACGTACGAGTTTACGTAAATAAATAAGTCGCAGTACATGAGTACAATCAACAGACGCGCATTTACAACCTCACAAACCCCCCAAACGGTCCGTAAACATTAATCGAATTGAATGCGCTAAACCAACCGTAGTATCATCCATTACTCACACCGGAATTGAAATCAGAAAGGTACATAAATTGATATAAACAATAACTACACAGATAATATAACATACTATTTAAAAAAATAAAATAGGTCCTACGAATCGTATTTGTCTATATTTCAAATTAAAATCAACGCGTCAAAATTGTTTAAATACATTAAATATCGATAAATGTTTAAATTTTTATTAACTGAACAATACATTAATCGTTCGTATTTTTAGATATTATTATAATAGTTAGAATCCTTTATAGCGAATAGTGTTTTCGTTACCAAGTCAAGTGTCATAAACGTTGATATTTTAATAAGGCTAGCGTTGCGCCGATACACCGACAGTATCGTATTTTCTTCCTAACAGTATATAACAAAAAAAAATATACATTAAACATTATAGGGTTCTTCACGAAAAACTACTAAGGTGCTTAGTACTACCAAATTTAAAAGTCGAACACACACATAAACTGATGTGAGTTGAACCCGTGGCCGCATTATAACGGAAGTAATTAGAATCCGGAAGCAATAGGCGCGGCGGATGCAATACGTTGATATTACCGCACTAGCTTGCGCACTGTGTCAAAGGTGGAAAATAATGGTAATATCTACTCTATAGAATGTTACGTAAAGCTAGGAAACTAATGCATTATTCTATATGTTGCGCACGTTACCGCAAACTGCAGATACTTCTAATCTGTTGTAATAGACGAGAAAAGAAGATACACATTTTTTAACACGTGCCATGACAATACGATTGTATGATAACTTGACAAGCAAGTCGGCAGTTCTAAACGTGTTAACAACCCTCCACAAATTGAATGTAGTTAAGAATATAAGTAATAGTAGTTTAATTTTAAATCTAGTGTAAATAAGAAAAATAAAAAACTGAAACTAAGGAAGCTAATATTACGTTAATGTAAACAAAAAGCCGTTATCTCTAGCAATTTAATCATATGCAAGCTACATCGATGTGTGCAGATTATAAAACAATTTTGCATTCGATTATCCCGTAACTGTGGCTGAGGTGGTCGCGAGCTGATGACTCGGCAGTATAACGTCGGGTTTAATCAACTTATAAGACTTTGGAACAAATTAAGCATTAGACATAGTAATGTAGCGATTAAATGACCCGTGTACATCCTTTTTACACCTGAGAAACTAGAAAAAGACATCATTTAAAAGTTTAGTTTCTACAACAATTGAGACATTTGCTATTTAGATTGTCATTATAAATAATACGTTTAACTTAAACTGAACGTGTAACAAATGAGAAACATCGATATAAAATGTAGATAATTAAATATATAGAGTAACTTTAAAAACTTCGACAGACCAATCGCCAATGCAGCAAGCAGCAATTATCGGATGCTCGTATGCAGGCATCCGATAATTGAAACACTGCCGTCAAAAATAACGGTAAAATGGCTGCATCACTTGACGGCATAGACTTGACGGCATAAGTTGACGGCATTAGTTGTCGGTATCACTTGGAGCTAATGAAGTGAAACTCTCTGAACATATAACATGTCGTTTAATGTGTTATTGAATACGAGTAAACTGCGATTAATGTTAACATATCCGTTAACTATAATATCGTAAACACTTTATTACACATCACTAAGAAAAGCTCTACTTTTCAACTAGTAATCAGTGTAGAGTAATCTAAATTAAGTAAAAGCTGACTGGCTGTTAACATTAGTTATAGTATAAAATTATAGAAGCAAGATAAGCGAAGAAAAAAAAATAACTTCATTATTGAGGGTCACGAAATTCTCACAGATCTACATGAAACAAAAACTCAATTAGCATATCTCGCTTCCTGCATCATTAGGAGACGATAGACTCGGCCAATCGATTCACTTTCCCCGCGCACTCGCGTAAAAAGCAACCCAACTAGTAGACGCTGCTTCCTCGCATTCCTGTTCCCAGTAAAACCTTAACAAATTACAATGGACCTCACTTTCCATATACATATAAGAAAAGTAAGTAATTTCAATTCAGCAGGGTTTTGTTTCATTCACCGCATTCGATGTGATTGAACCCAGGCGGCTGGTATCCTTGAGCTGGCTACTTGATATTGTATACAAATATTGATATTTGTGGTTATAAGTTATGATTACTTCGTAATATAGCAGCCGTATGAGCATTTATGTTGTACGCAAGTTACGAAGATAGTTGTAAAAAAGAAAAAAAAAGCCTACAAATTACAAGATTTTATATAAATAAAATATTATGAATCATTTATACTCGTTAAAACCTTGATAAAACAATAATCCGTATTATATAAGACCAATAAATTGTATCATCCTACGCAATAGTTTTTAAAAGAGCAAAGGCTACCGTCGAGGCGACTTGTCCGCGCCAAACGACCTTCCCACGACTGATACAAATTTGTCAACGTTTGAGTCAATCGCACTAAAAGCTTAATGTCCTGCCCACCTTACAATTTAATGCCGGACCTTAAGCGACGTGTTTTGAATTGCTTCGTGGTTTCAAACTAAAGGATAATTTCACGGGCTCTACTTTAGTGAAACAAGAATAAAAGATGAATTCAAATAGTCGTTTTAGAATTCCATAACGCTTGGTTTCAACTGCAGTGAAACTTTTATCAATTCATATTGTTGTCTCTGTTTTGTTAAAGGGAGGGAAAGGGATGACGAGTATGTATTAATACAGGTCTCAGTGCAATGGAGTTCTAATGTAACACGTTCAATAATTACAGAGAAGAGCTATTTGCTCGGAATAAGACATATGATGACACTTATCTAAATGGAGGCTTGCGTATAAAACTTGATGCTACTAACACAGTGAACCAGTTTACTAGGTAAATTAAGAATTAACTGTAACTTAACGAAAGTAGATTGTAAGAAAGGGCTACCTTATTCTAGATAGATAAATTTATATAAGTATGTGTTTCAAAATTATTCAAAATACTGTTCGCAAGCGACTTCATCAATGTGGAATTTAAAAAAAGAGCAGCATTTATATGCCCGCATGCATCACCTCCCTTAGAAATCAGGTCAGTCGTTTTGAAGTTTGCCCGGAACAAACGGAGATTTGCGGACAGATAGGATTTAATATAAAAAAAGTATTTTCACTATGAACTACGCGAATACACAGATCCATATGCCAACATAAATTTTCATCGTTTGCGCATTCATAGAAAAATACAAATCGAATACAAACCACAACAAATTCAATATGGAAGAGCATCTGTATATAATTAACCCAATATAAGTACGGACGAAAAATTATTGATACGTGGATTCTTGGTTATAACTCCACAAAGCACCGTTGCGAACCTTAGTTGATTTAGGAGACAGTCAACAAGACGGAGGTTGAGTCCTCAAACAACATATCAAAGCGACGTCGCCGTACACAAGCACTTATAGCAAAACGTACATCGCCATCTAGACATTAAATTAATAACTAAATAAAAACCACTTATGTAATAACGAAGCATTAAATACAACTAGACTACGTAACTTTATCTTATATAATTTTCTGTCACACAATCAATTATTGAAACCCGTGTCCTATTATATACAACTAGTAAATAAATAATTTATAAGTTTTTAGCTACTTGTGACTAGCAGAATAACGATGGAATTATTTGACTGCTTGACGCTTTAGTCCACATTCGAAATCTATGATGAATATTTCGATCAAACAAATTCAACAAAAAAAAAATGACCATTTATCAAACGCTTATATCAAAACTATTCTTAGAAGAAATATTATGTTTATAGTCCGAGGAAAAATTATGTTAGGTAATAAATTGTAAATGGATTCGCTTTAAAATAAACACAGAGCGATATTAACAAGGAACCGTTTATGTTTACAACCAACGCAACCAAAGTAATTAACACATACGAGTACATTCAGCATTAGCATTGCGAGATCGTTAATTTTGTTAATAGCGGTTTAGCTGACTGCACACATGAAATTAAACTTTACAATCCTACACAGATTCTTTAAATAGTAACTCAGTACACCCCTTAGTGCAGATTCACTAAATATGGAACTAAATAAAGTATGGGGTATAACCGCACGATACAACACAGGTTATTGAAGGTCATATAAGAAATAATCTCAACTAAAAGAGACTCACTATCTCCACATAGCATCAGATAACTCTCTAATTGGGCCAGTGATACGCAGGGCTCGATATCTCTGTCCGTATCTAATCTGTGGCAAGTACATTGCTGTTATAATTGCATAGCAAACAAGGACCGCCCTTAGTACCTTGGATACTCTTCACGGCATAGTATAATAAGTCAAATGGAAGTGTGCCGCGGTGTTACAATTTTCCTGTTCGTATTTCACGACTGAACAGCTAACCGTTGCTTTGGTCCTGTCTGTATTCAATATATCTGAATGTAGAGTATTAAATTGCAACAAATATGTACTGCTGTTGTTAAGAAAAATCAGTACGTACTAAAAACTTTTCTTAGCTTATCTGTGTACAATCTCCTCCACATCAAAGAACAGCCGACAATATCCACACGACCACACGTCGCGGCGGCATTAGTGTTATGTTTTTTGCACGTTAATAAAGTAATTTAACTTAATGATAATACGACAAAAACGTGCGTACCTGCTGCTCCGACGTGACTTCCTCCCTGCTGCTGTCATCTGTAACAGGACGGGGTAATAAATTAGATATATGACACACAATCCACAGATTATAAAAGTACTAATGACATGGAAACTGCCACAAATAAGATTAACTATATAAAGTTACAAAAACGAAAACTCTTATTCAAGGAAAAAATAAAAATACAAAATCGTTTCTATTCTAGCAGCATAAATAATTAGAATATTTAAATTGCTTCCATATAATGAAAGTAATTCTGTAGATACGTTTTATTGAAATAGCTATATGCATGAAATTTGATTTAGAAATGGCCTCTGTTATTGTTTCCACAAGAGCCGAAACAAAGTGAATCTTAATTATTGTTCGAGAAAATTGAATTTGTATAACCTTAAGTGTGAGAGTTAACTGTACTCTCTACATTGTTTAATACTCTGCGATTTTAAGGTTTTTGTATTAAATTAAATTATACGTTCGCGTGATACAACCTGCACATATCTGAGTAGACATTCAAAAGATATGTGTGAAGTCAACCAACCCGCACTTGGCCAGCGTGGTTGACTATGGCCTAGTGACCCATAACTTAGGGTGGGCTCCGAGCCTCTCGGTGGAGACATATAGTGAGCTGATAATGATACGTTCTCGACATTTAAAATCGATATGAAGAAAACACTAAAAAAAAATTCAATAATAACAATGTTTTTTAAAATAATCTACATATAATGTATGTATAGTATTTTATTAACAAATCACCGGTTGCATCGCTCCAAATGATTGCTCAATCGCGTCAACGCATAGAATAAAAAGATTGCATCGCATTAAACAATTTCCTTTAGTCGACGTCTCATTTCGAATGACATGTAAATAGGCCCCCGACGTCTGAATGAGCATGACACATGTCGCAGACTCGTCACCGGGGATTGTCGTGCGATACCGGGGTGCAGGGGTACTGAACCTTTTAGGGCACACATTCGATATAAAAACGATAATCTATAAAAATGTAATAAATATATTTTTACATTTACAAATTTAAGTCAAGTTTCAAACATAAAATAACGTTATCACAGATGTGTTTAACTAAACTTAACGTTAAATTTAGTTTGTCACCCCTGGCCGTACCTTTCATCGGGTCGTTGACCTCGCAATCCCGTGAACAATTTTACGCTTGCACACATGACTACGGTGTAATTTAGCGAGACTGTAGACATCCGAACTGTCATGCCCGTTACTGTATCACTTGTGTTTTGTTTTAGTTATTACTGCATATTTAATGCGCATTTCACCCGTATTTTTGGACGGATGATTTTATCCGACAGGTAGATACAACAGTCGCAAAATTTTAAAAAATTTACACTTAAAATCAAAACAATCCTAAAATCCGTTATGCTTCAAAAATTTATTTCATTCATCAAATATTCAAAAGTTACGTAAAGACGCTCAAAACGTAGGAATGTCCTTTAGTTAAAGAAAAAAAACAACAAAGAAATTCCTCGTTAGATATAATTTCAAAAAAGGAATCCTAATCACAAAGAAATAAAGCTCAGTTTAGGATGCATCTTAAAGATTGGGATATGCAAATACGGGGATTATTTAACAGGCGACTTTATTTACAAAGTGCATTCACCCTCGCAACTCTCGTGACAAGCTCATCCCGCTGTTGTTATGACACAAAAGACAAATTTGTGCACTAATGCCTTAATTAAGAAACACAATTATCACCTTTGTATAATATAATTAGTATTAAGATAAAAATTCAAATAAAATAAAACACAAATGATAGCCATCGAACAATATGTTCTGTTTACGGGAATGGGTTTCCAAAGTTAAGACTAAGTTTCTAAATAAGAAAAAAAAGTTTTACCCAAATAAATGTTCAAACATTTAATTAACAATGCATATTTTATGTGTATATTCATGACTGTTCACAAGAATATAAATAATTTTGCAAATCAGACAAACGGTCGTATATCAAACCATCAGTTCATTTAACGGTTGCGTGTACGGGAATTCAAGAAGGTAAGTTGTGACTTTGACAGTCAAGTCAACAAGTAACAATCTTCGCGTTACAGTCATAAAGTGCGCGGCTAATTCGCAATGTAACGTCTTCGGCGTAACATTTCGCGTGGTTTTGCGAAATATCGCATACCGTTCCGTTAATTTAAGCACAGCGGGTCACTGCACCCCATTATCTTGAAACCTTTGCGTGGTAAATATTATATCACGCATCACATCGTACCTCGATGTGGGTCGCTTCAGAAATAGCTTGGACGCATTAAACGGTATTTAGAATGTGACATAAAACGTTAATGTCTGAAAGACTTTGTATAAACTCATAGGAGTATCCACTGTCAAAATAGTAACATCATTTATATGACAGTTTTGTCAAGGAGAAGCATGACAATACATTTATGTGTCAAGCCTGTTCTAAATAGTACGTCGATAGATGGGAGTGGAAGTCTGCAATACGATTAATTAGTTTGTTCATATTACATCGATTTAAAAAAACAATTTAAACCCAAACTAAAATTTTCTGCAATTTAAACACTAAAAAAACTCATAGTAATATTATCAACGTAATTATCAGTTGAACGAATTGTTTAAAAGCCCACATGCACAGTATGACGTGACCTTTTTGCGACGGAACGTTTCAATATTCGGTTACATTATTTACTGTTCATTAGTAACTAATTGAAGGAAAACATTTTTATACCCAGCCTTTTCACTGACATTAACATAATTTATAACCACTCGCAAAGGTTTGGCCTTTCTGTTGTATAAACCAATAACATCCCACACAATGTTATTTATAATTTAAACAAAGTTTCAATAATTAATCTTCATTCTATTAAACGTATTTGGTCAAAAAGTCATATCAAACACCTTTAATGTTGTTACTATGAGAAGTCATCTTTTACAACACAGCACGAAAAATAACTAAACCGGAATAATATTTAATGCCTCTTTTAACCCTTACTAATATTATAAATGCGTAAGTTATATTAATATAAAAGTACATGTTTAATGAAACAAAAACGTCTTGTATCAGTACATCGACGTTGTCACAAAGCACGTGGCCTGCCTTTGTCAACGGTTTATCCAGTTTACATATGTATCGCTCAGTCTGCGGTCATCGGTATGTTTTACATCACATTTTATCATCAAATGTATGAAATATCATCCAGTCCTACGGAAGTGAATAAATACAGACATTGATATAAACTGAGCGTACATTGTTCGTTATTATTTCCAAATACATTCGAACATTAGTAAGAACTGGAAAAGTGAGAAATCTCTAAAAGCGAGAGTCATTGGCAAGTCCCGAAGTATCATCTTCATAAGGACCCCCACACACTAGGGACTTTGAATCGCCCGATAGTTTGATATGGCGCTTAATCAGTATGAGCATATAATCGGTGTAATGTGCGCACCTCAATACTATCTGGCGACTAAAAATCTGTAGTATGCGGGAGCCCTTAGCTAGAAACTCTAGTAAGAAAGTGACTCTCACTTATCCAGGTTTCATGAAGAAAATTAAATATTAAATATGCATTAAATTGATAAATCTGTCTTTATTTATCTTTATTTAGTCATCAACCATTTGGCAATAACGCACGATCCGAATCCGGTTTTAAAATGTATTATAATGGGGAAGGTTATTTTTTTTAGCAACAGAGACAAGTTTTATTGCAAAAACTTGTTCAATGTATTTATCAATTACGGAAGCAATGATGACTAACATAAAGTCTAGTCCAATATTTAATTTAGTATTATATTAACACAAAAAAACACAAAATATATATCGTTATCTATGTGCAAAAATATTCTGCCATACTCTAAAAAAATTAAGTCTAGTATATAATCTTAAAAATAACCAAAGTGACTTGCAGTGTAAGATATTGATAATTCAAGGAAGATATTGGTTAATTTACTGGAAATAAAATAACCAACAGTTTTCTTCTCCCTTCAAAGCAAACACGTACAGTCAGCTTCAAACAGACCATATTTCAAATCATCGCCTTGACGATAGCTTATCAATTTGCCTCGTATCTGCCGTGTTCAGTTGTGTGCACAAGCTATTTTGCAACACCAGTTTTGTAAGGTGTGTAATCGTAAACAAAACGCGTTTGTACTTACAACGGTATAAACATACAACACTTTTAAACGTCACGATAATCGAGTAGTTGTATATTTATTTCAGTAATCTAGGGAGCCTGGGAAGAACCTCGATGGTAACATCATCAGAAAATCGCAACAATTTAAAAATAATAAACGCTATGAAGTGGATATGACCTATTATTTATTTTTATATCAATATTCCATCTCTAAAGATGTTTCCTAACTTTTTACATCTATGTATATTTTCATTTTGTATTCATAAATCTTAACATTAGACTAAAATCTTTACAATGTACAAATGAAGAACAATAAATACTTCGTACATTCTCATATTACAGTTGAAATAGTGGCGGGAAAATATTTACGTTTCCCGCCATCGTAGACGTAAGCAACGATTGTTTGGCGCGCGACGCGAACGTGTCAAAAACAAACTGTGTTGTCGGTGGAGTGCGGTCACGTGTCGCTATTCTCTTACAGAACCCTTGCTGCTAAAACCTCGTCTATTAAGCTTTAGATACGAGCTTTAGGTGCATTAATGATTACTTAGAAAAGAGATTACATTAACTACACAACTTTAATATAATAGCTTTCGCCCGCGACTGCGTCTGCGCAGAACTAAAACAAGTAATTAATACGACTACGACTTAGGGGCCTTCAAGAAAAGAGCGTACACCTTCCTTAAAGGCCGGCAACGCATCTGCAGTTCCTCTGGCGTTGCGGATGTCCATGGGCGTCGAATCAAATAATATTAGGCGATTCGTTGCTCGTTTGCCCCCTTCTCCTATAAACAAAAAAATATTATGATATATTCAAAACATTAACAAACTAATTGCGGGGACAGTGTTTTGCAAGCCAAAGCCGATGTGAGCACAGGCTGTGATTGTGATAAGATAAAACTGCGCGGGCGCTGACGGGGCAAGGCCGT